TACTGGTGTGGAGATGGAGCTGGGTAAAAGCTCCTTCTCTGGCCTGCGATATACCTCTCGTGTGTACATCGCAGCCTGGGGGTCACGCTTGCAGGCGTGATCCAGCAAAGATTGATCCCTCCTTGTATTTCCCTCCGGGTTGCGAAGGTGAGGATGAGGATGGTGAGGATGAGGATGGTGAGGAATTTCAGTAGCACAGGGCAGCCGCCGCAGCGGCTGAGGTCTTGTGCAAGACTGCGGTCTGGAGGAGAAACACAAATAATCAGCGCAGCTCCATTGGGGAGGAATCTCGCGCTTTCCGTGAAATGCACGAATGCGGAGCCGAGCGCTGCGACTTGGCTCAAAATGTATTTTTGCCCCATATCTCTACCTGTGATGACGGTTTGGCTTTCCTGGAAAGCAATAGGTGTGGGGAAGAGTGGCTTATGCTTATTTTTTTTTAAGAAAAAAATAAGGAAAAAAAAAAAAAATCAAGCTTTGATAATGCAGTAATGGCTGTAATGAAGTCACAAGGCCATGAGTTTGGGGCACCCAAGCTAACCTGGCGGCGCAGCCAGCTAAGCTGGATTGCTCTGTTTATACACTCGCTTTATTGTGGCTTAGAGGCACGCAGAAATAAATACTGGCAGGCAGAACAAAGGACAAAGCTCGGCTTGGGCAAAGGGCGGCTGGCTGGAGGAGGACGCGTGACTGGGGCTTTGCTGAGAACCTCTCAGCCTCGAGGGGTTGGGGTTGGGGGGTTGTTCCGGCTGTGAGGGTGGGACAGCTTTTTATCTCCCTCCAACCCTGGGAAAAAGGTGCATGGATGCCACCGTCTGTGCCTGGAAGGGTTTGGTCCAGACTGCGGAGGAGCTGAGAGGTGCTTCAGGGCTGGGACTTATCTCCTGGCTAAGCTGAGTCATGTGAGCAGGGCTTGGAATAGCCTGGTTGGGTTTGGTTTTTTTATTGACAGCGCAGTGAAATACCCAGTTAAATGGGACTTGCAGGCTTTGATTTCTGGGCCATGTGGAGAAGACCTTCATGGGAGGACTCCACAGAGGGATTTGCTGCTGCGGGCGCTGCGCATCTCGGTGGGATGCTGCTGATCTCGGGCGTAAGGTGGCCCAAAGAGTGGGAACCCTGTCCCTGGGAAAGCAAGGCAAGGCACCGCCTATGGCTCCCCAA